GAGCGGCCGCCGCGGAGGCGCAGCTACCGCGGGCTTTTTGAAAGCCACGCACGCCTAATAGAGCATAGGCAGCGGCTGCGGAGCAAATTAAAACCCGGTGAAGCTTTTAAAGCACCTCCTAGCTGCCGCCCTCCGTGCGAGCATTTCTGAAGCGCTTTGGAGCAAGCTCGTAAAGGTAACCTGTGGCTTACTCCACCTGGAAGCCACGCCAACTGTGTTCCTCTTGCATCTTTTTTTTTTTTTCTTTTGCTTCTTAATGCTACGTGAATATTGCTTTCTTAATTTTGTCTCTTTATTAACGTGTGTAGGATACGGCTGTGTAGTAACTTACAGTAAATGCGTGGATCCTGTAGTTGGATTTGCTTATTGGGGTAACAAACTGTGTTGTCTTTAGGTCAGCCTGCAACTTTGGGTTCTTCATATAGGTAAAAGCTTGCAAGGTTGGGGCCTTAAAGATTATATGCAGAGCAGCTTTCCAGCAGAAGTTTTACAGAGTTTAAACAGAATTTAACAGAAAGTTAAATAATCAAAGTAAAGAACTAAGCAGGGCAAATCCTTGCCTCTTGTTCATTCTTGATGGGATATATGGAAAAAAAGACAAGCCTCTTGTGTTCCTTTGTAAGATTGCTTATCCCTCTTCTTAAAAAAAAAAAGTGTCTCTTTGGTAGGGAATAAATGCATAACGAGCTTTAAAATCATGCTGCAAGTTTGTACGGACTTGTGCTTTGAGGAAGAAGATATCAAAAGTTGTGGTTACTTGGTTTGTTTTTTCCCATTAACTGCACCAGAATATAATTAAAATAATGACTTGATATGAAACTCTCTGAGCTCTGTGGAAGTGCAAAGCAAAGGAAGCTGCAGGGTCAGTGCTTCATCACAGCTTCACTCGCTTCAGCTGAAGTGTAGGGTGTTTTGGGCTTCGTTTAGGAAGCAGTATAAAATGGATGCCTGAAGTAAAGAACACTCTTGCAAATGCTTCCTTTTGTGCGTGTACTGTTTCTTTCAGGCAAGCTTCCTCTGATCCTGGGGATGATAAAGTTTAACGCTGTTAGATGCAAGTTAAATAGAAGACTTTACAATGTAATATAAGTTATCTTAACTATAAGTAGAAAGCTAATGGCAATTTTACTCAGGCTTGGTCACTGTAGCAGAAGGACTGGCTGTAAGGTAAGCACCTATGCTTAAACTGTTATGAAAATTCACTTTGAAACACACAAGCCTTAAAGTTTTCTCTGAATGTTTCCTGAGTAGAAAGACCAAGAGGCTGAGGGGTGTGTGTTTTGTCGTCTTATGGACATGGGGCTATGTATGTGTATTTTAAAAGTAATGAGTTATTGTGAACGTGAATGCTACTTCTCTTCTGCCCTTGCTCAGTCCAGCTATTGTGATATGACCACACTTAAATGAGTGGGAGAAGTTAACCCAAGCTCTTCTTCTGGACTGCAAGGGAAGGTGGCTCTTTGGACATCAAGGCTTTTTTTCCTTTGTAAGGGTATGTTTCTAAAGAGACAGGCACAGACACTTTCTGTTAATACAGCTTATTCTCCTTTAGATGGCTTTTTCCTTTTCTGCTTGCCTCCTTGTCTGATGATGCTCAGGAGAAAAGTTTTGGCTATGATAGGTTTTGTACCTTTGAATTGGCAACATGTTTGCCTTGCCCCTCCTCTCATCTCCTCTTCTTCTCTGAAACTGGTTTTAGATTTCGTGCTCTGCATCTACTGAAGTTCTGTTAAACAGCTGAAAAAAAAAAAAAGTCTTTGAAGAGATCCTGAGTTTGTGAGGAATTAGGCTACCAGGGCTTGCTTAGCTGTTGATGCTCGCAGGGACTGTAGGAGTTTTTTCAACACAGGAGGGAGTAACTCACTGCTCTCCATTTATTCACATCCAGTTGCTGTAAGATCTTGAGATGTGATCAGGAGAATAAATTCCTATGTATACTAAATATCATTAAAAGATTCCCAGTGAATTTTGGTATGGTTGGTTCAGGCTCTTAAAGATTCTGTTCCTAAAATTATAGCACACTTCTTCCCCCCCCCATTTATTTCCTTCTCCTTCCTGAGGAATGAATGGAATGATAAATTCTAAATGTTCAGACAAGTGTAGTTGTATTGCATTGAAACTTTACAGAAGTTGGTAGCTATTATTATGAGCAAACACTTATTTCTTCCTGCAATCTGCCTTGCAAAGCAGAATCTCTTGAGGTTAAACCACAGATAATTACCTTGGCCTTTAACCATGGATTGTTTGCATTATCACGGTGGTGTTCTTGTCTTGTCAGGGTCCATCATAAGTATGAAGAATGCTAGCTACTTCATCTCCGTTCATACCTACTGAAACGGTTGTTTCTAGTTCGCATTTTCAGGAATATCTGTTGTACGTTTTTAGTGAACTTTTTCTGGCTGCCTCTTACTGAAAATAACTGTTCTGTATCTGTACTTTTGGAATAACTGGCCACGCATGGAGGACCTTTGGGACCCCTGTTCTGATTTTTCTATGTGACTTTCATCCAAATTTCTGGTGGGCTATATGCAATGTAAGCACCCAAAAAAGGGTGTTCTAACAAAAAGCTTGCTTTCTGACTTGAGTTCTGACCTGCCCAGCAAACATATAAAATAACCTGGTAGTATGGCTCAAGAAATGCTTGGCTGAAACTTCAGATTCCTTTAGAAGTCCACTGTTAGTATTGAATAGCCTCTGTATGAAATTGAATTTTATGGTTGTTATCAAGTTCCATATGAAATAAATATTAATTGACATTCCAATTACTTCACTTCCTTGGAAAAGCTTAACTTCTTTCTAAAGTATTTTGCCCAAGTTAGGCAAGGGTGATGAGAAAATGACTGTCACTCCATATTTTTTGGCTTTCTGTTAATTAGAGAGATGTATTACACATGGCTTCGGGTACACAGTTCTCTCCCTTCCTCCGCCCCAAGAGTGACATGGTATTTGAAACACCACTAGAATTACAGGTGATAATGATGTTTCTTTGAACAAACTTGTTCTGAAGCTTTCTTTCCTGCCAGGGGGTGTGAGTTATGCATTATACTGAAGATTTAAGTAGGGAGCATGAGGGAGGGAATAACAAATTTGCAGTCATGCTTCAAACTAATGAGTATTTTGAAGTATTTTTTCCATCCTAAATAAAGGTATGAAACACAACGGTGTGACTGACTGTCTTATACCGTAATGGTGTGGTATGTGCTAGTATCTGTAGAGAGCGGACTCCTGGATCTTGTGCTTTCTTTGGTTGTATATAGTATTGAAAAGTCTGTGTATAGTACAAGACTAAGTAAAATCAGTGCTATGTGATTGTGTTCTGACTATGGCGCGCTGTAGTACGTCCTTGTAAGCTTGACTGGGGCCTTTAGTGATGCATGCTACCACAGGGTGTGCGGCTGGCATGCAGGCAGGAGGGGGGGAGGAGATTAAGATGTACTCTCAGGCCCTTGGTTAACACGAGCATTTTGGTCTAACGCATTTATCTTGGAAAACAAGTTGCTGGATAGTACAGAAATCCTTAAACTCCCCGTTGTTCTTCCAGGCTGTTCAAATGATAGCAAGTTAACAAAAACACTGGAGAATTGCCAGTGGAAAAATGCTACAGGAATTAGCTTTTATGTTTTTTAAACATCATTATGCTTCAGTCCTGAAGTAATTATTCATATTCCTCTTTAGTACAGGGAACTTGATTGTCTGCTAATTCGTAGGCTGTCATCAATGAATTGTTGTATTTCAAAGAATTGTAAACAAGCCACTATGGCCAAAGCTTCTTAATACAACTTGCAAGCAGAACCTGTCAAGAAGAACAAATCTACAATTTTTAGTAAGTTATGGTGGGAACTGAGAGCATTTTCAAATGCCACAGGTAATAGCAGCCTGTTCTACAGCTTACACATCTCAAAACCTGAGTTCATGTAGACTCTCATTTTAAATCTAGCCTTAGTGGCAATACTTGGTGATTTAAAGTTGTGACGCAGTTTGTTATGTTGTTCTTATCTAGAAAAGACGGTCTTGCAGAGATCTGCTGATTCATCTTCATTAGAATGCAAATTAGCTGTGTGTTTCTAATTCAGCCGTGTTTGAGAGGACTATAATAATTGAGTAGTAGCTCTGTAAGATGCGATAGCTTTGATTAGTCTCTCAGGTCCTTCTTGATACAGGTGGAGAACTGTTTTTATTTTTACTTTATTCTTTAAAAGGCATTTATTCTTTTGAGGGTGAGGTTGAGCATGATTCACAGATCATACTTCAGCTTTTCCTGAACCTAACCTCTCTGTAACAAATAATTTCCATGCTATTAACACTAACGCTTTTTTTCCCAGGGCTGTACTTACGTATGTAGTTGTGAGATTTAGTTGTCTTCCTCTGTTTTTCCTGTAAAGGGGAATATGAGAAAAAAAAAGTTGCTTATTCTACAGTTTATTGTATGTTCGCGTATTACAAACCTGGCTACCTCTGTGTGTGATTGGTTAAAATTTTAAAGCTAGTTACTCCTCTAATTCTAAATAACTGTTCTGCGCTGTGGTCTATATGACATGCTAAATGTCTAAAAACGCAGTCCTTTCTGACAACATGACTCGGAGGGAGATAACGCTATCGTGGCTGTAGAACTCTGAGAACAGAGGGAACCACATAATCTTACAGAAGAAGAGGTGACTGGTTTATATAGGAGTGACTTGTTGCAAGTGGCTGATTTTTTGTTTGGGTTTTTTAGTTTAGCAAAACAGATTGATCTGTTGTGCAGATACTTGGCTGAGGATGGATAGAATTGCTTATCGATCTTCAGTCTTTGTATAAAGACAATTTTTTCTCGTCCCATCTCAGAATTGCTTATTGCTGATTCGTTAGTTTAATTAGGTGTCTTCCTTCAGTGGTTTTTTTGATATTGTTCCTTTTTGAACTGCCGATGATATGTGCTCAACTTTCCAGACTAACTCACTTTTTCCTTCTGTTGGCCAGACTGTCACATTCACGAGGACTATTCTGTGCTTTAGCTTTTAGAGCGAATGGAGACATTTTAACCAGCTTATACGAGGAAGTTCTGGGCATCTCTTGGATTTCCCCTCTTCCTTCCTGTATTTTCAGGTTTTGTGTCCTTGTCTTTCTTGCTCGTTATGATTGGTATGAGGCTTGTTTCAAACAGGTCCTGGCTGAGGGGGTGTGTGTGTTGCAAAAGGGGGTGGGAACTCACAGTGAGATCCTTGCTGAATTAGGGGCAGCAGGTGAGTGATTGTAAACTTGTATTTTTGGCTATTCCAAACTACAATTTAAAATATGAAGTTCTACTGTGTTATAAGAGGGGGGGTTACTATGGTATATGAGTTAAAATCCAGAGTTCATTAATCTGAAATTAAGGAATAATTTCTTAAAGCTTGACTTCTCTAGAATGTTGATGTATTGTACTGTTTTGTCTACAAGAACACTTTAGGAGATATTTTCCTAAAAATAAAAAAAGAATCTTTAACCACAGAATGACTGGTGTTAGAAGAGTGCTTCCCATCTTCCCTCTGCCTCTTTTACTGCCTAAGTGGAGCACGTAGAGGGCCACAACATATTTCCAGCTTGATGGAGTAAAGGGACTTCTCAAGGCAACTGAATAAGTGTTGTCTGAGGAAGGCTAAATTTTAATATGGAAATTACTATTCTGGATAGGATCTAACCCTTGTTGTTGAATGTGCATAGAGAAGATTGCTCTTCTACAGCTAACCCTGTTTAAAAAAGAAACAATGGTTTAAAAAATTGCTCTTTGGTGCAGTACTTCTTTCAGATTTTGGCCTTTTTCATTCTTTTTATCTCTGCTTCTTCCTCTTTCTCTTCTGCCAGCTTCTGAGTCAGTTGAGTCTGCCAAAGAATATTTCTTGTTTCGTTTTAAATCCCTACCACATCCTCTGCTACTTAAGCTAGAATACTAACCTACTCTTTTTCTTGTCTCTGCGGTATGCAGCCTTATCTCTTCTGGCAGCAACTTGTTTTGAAGATTTCACTGGTACATATAAAAGCTGCTTTAATGCCACCGTTGTACTGAACCTTAGGTTTTGGTTTCCTATAGGCTTCCTACCTTATGAATAAAATCGTGTTGATGTAGGTTAGTGACAGTTTGGAGAAGTATTGGAACAAGAAGGAAAGGCTTAATTTAACTAGAAGTTAAAGATACTATCATAACATTATCTTGAACATTTGGGAGGCAGAATTGAGTGTTGTGATGTTTTGGGTTTTTTTTTTCTAGTTCCTGAAACAGTTGTTCAACCACCTCTCCCCTCTGATTTTCTTCTGTTTAGTGGTGTAAAGTTGCCTAGGAGCTCTTATGTTGAAGTACAAATGTAGCATTGCTCTGGATATTGTGGATTTTTAGCACTGAATATATGAGAACGTTGGAAAAGTTAATATTTGATGACTCTTAGAGAGTGTGTAAGACTATCGACATGCCTTGTTTTCATTTGACTGCTTTTTAGGTATCAGAGTTCAGTCTGAAATGGCTCTGTGCCTTTCTTATCTTCATGTCCGTGCGTGCTGTCAGGGAACTTCATAACCTGATACTTCTTATCACTTGGTGCAAAACGGGCATGGCTCTTCCATGAGGCAGACCTTCTTGCCTGGTTATATGTTCCACTAGAGCTGATAACCCACTTCTTGTGCCTAAGGATTGAAAGGAAGTTTATCTCTATTCTCCCAGCCTTTTAGACATGCAAATGCTTTTTCATGTTGCCTGAAGTGTTCTGTAAGCAATGATACAACTGCAAACCCTGTGTGCTGCTGAGTAACAGAACAATTACCACAGCTTTTTTTGAAAACAGTGTGTGGCAGAGCAAGACATTATACGATGAATGCTGGGATTAAGGGTTCATGTAACTGTTTTAAACTCTTCGGTCCTACTACCCTACATGTTTTTCATGTATACTGTTCCCTTAATGAGAGTGTGATGAGCAATGATATCATTTGACTAATTGTCTGGAGGTCCAATATCCAAAAGGAAGAGTTCAAGGGAAAAGCCTCATGCTTGTGTGCAACAAACATACATATTTCTTTGTCTAAATCTTTATACAAATTCCCACTCTTTTGCATGTATCATATCTATTTCTGACGTTTGGGAATTTTAGTTCCCGGCAGAAAGGAGAACTTGTTACCTGGGAATTATTTGTCATATCTGAAGAAATAGACACGAGTTGTGGAAACAAAAGGCAGTCTGTAATGATGCACAATTTGAAGCTATGATTAATAAGAGTGGGCTTGATGCTAGCTGTGTAGTCCTCAGTACTGTGGACCTTAAAACATCTTTCACTGATGTATAAAGATCCATCTGTCCTGTGCAGATGTTTAAGGGACTTGGATTTTTTTTTTGAGAGAGAGAGAGCACAGCAGAGGCGTAAGCAAAAGAAATGTCAAGTGATGTCAAAATGCACCGAGAGGAATAATCCACCCAGCGGATGGAGAGGTCCATCTGCTGTCTGTACTCTTGATGGCCTGAAACATGGTATCTGTGACCATTCTTGCAAACTCTGGCAGTTATCAGAAGCGCATGTTACTTTTAGCTTCTGCAGCTGGGAACAGTATTTTCTCATGCATGCTTTTGTTTTAAATGTGTTTTTAAATTTCAGTATTCAACTGACTCTTGCAAAGACATGTAATGACCTGTAATGTAAATGTTTATTGTATTTAATTGCCTGTAACTCTTACTTTATATAGATGGAGCTGCCTGGCCTTGCTTTTGCTGTTTGGATGTTTATTTGCTTCTATGCATCTGTGGATGGCTATCCAAGTGGAAAAGTAAGAGAAGCCTGCACTAATATGATACCCTGTCATGGTAGCTCTCCACAGCCATCACCTGAGCACACCATTACAGCGAATGGGACTGAATTTAAACCGGGGGACAAGATAGAAGGTATTGTGTCAGTTGTAGCTGAAGAGTTTAATTCACTGTTTCTTTGTGTTGTAGCATGTCTTTACTCAGATAGCTATACTAGATCTACCTAAGCAGTTGAATCTTGTTCAGGTGATCCATTTAGCAGTCATTCAGTACTTGTAAAATGAGCTTCTGACGGTCATTGATGAAATATTTCATTCTTCCTTCGGAGAATATTTCAAATTCTTTTTCTTCTTGCTTCAGTTCATCTGTCTGGACCTGATTTTGAAGGATTTTTCATACAGGCCCGGGATGCAGAACACCTGGATAGCCCTGCAGTTGGTTCTTTCGTGTTAGCTGACCGGAGAATTTCTCAGCTTCTGACATGTGGTCGTACCAAGGTATAGTCTAGTGTCTTAACATGGGACATCAGGCACAGTACAGTGTTTGTACTAGACCATGTCTGTAGTAGGACAGAGCTGTGCTATGTAATCTTCTTTGATCTCAGTAAGTCTCTCGGGAAATGGATTGAACTTGCAGTACAGAGGCATGTCTCACTGCAGCTCTGTCAGACTTCTTATGAGCCATTTAAACTATCCTGGTTGTAGAAGGAAGATGCAGCATTTGTAACATAATGTTTACTTGTGCACAATGAATGTAGTGTATTCCTGGTTATTGTGCTTCATATTAAAAAGGAGGGCATGCTCTGTTTGCTTTAAAGAGGACATTTACCTGTAGTTTTCCATGCTTGTTAAGGACGGAGAAAATGTCTTGCAGCAAGGGAAGTTTAGGTCAGTTATTGTGGTAAACTAACACTATAATAGAGTATTATCTTTAGTGTTGCTCTGTCAGTTACTGTTAATGGAGCCTTCTTAGTAGCAAGTTAGATCGCAGTCTTCAATATCTGTTTTAGATAAATTGATTCTGCTTCATGTGCAAAAGATGTGAATTCTGACTGGTGTTTCAACAACCTGTTTGAACTTCATGAACACGTATGGTGTCAGCTGAGCTGCTGTGGATGCAGTCCTCAATCTGCCTAGATGTTTTTTTTTCCCCTCCACTTCTACCCCCTACCCCCCAGTGGTGTCCAATTAATGCATTTGTCAGTGCAGTAAAGCCATGGGCGTGCCTGGGTTGTGCCCTCTGTGCTCTGAGGACTTAGTTCAATGCTGTGTCTGATCTGTTTATCTTGTGCAAATGGATCTCTGACCCCGGGACTACTTTTGTTTTTTGTCCCCTGGAATACTAGTTCTGTTCTCTCTGCACAGTCATTGTGCTGTCCCTTCATGCTCCCATGATCAAAAAGTGGAGTGTTGTCACACCATTTCTGCATAAATGCTGCAGAGACCTCTGTCTCATCACTGGAGTCTTCTGGATTGAAAGACCAGAGTTGTTGCTTTTAGGCTTAAAGTTTGTTAGTACATACAAGTTTCAGTGGTAGACTTCATCTGGGTTGATTGTGACTGGCTGGGGAAAAGCTAGTTGGGCTGGGTCTGTGCAGTGTAACAGCGCAGTGTCTGGGTAGGATTTAGCTGCAGCCTGTGATGACTCTGTTAGCTGCAATTTCCTTAGTGCATATCCACTGTGTAACTCTTGATATGTGTGTGTTTTCAGAATTCAGCTGTCAGTCACACAAGTAAAGCAAAAAAGAAATACATAAAAGTTTATTGGATTGCTCCTGGGGATGCACCAAAACGTGTACAGTTTCTGTAAGTAAATCTAGTATTAGTTTATTAAAATGCAAGTAAGGTAAGCCTGTCTGTGTCAAATATTGGCCAGCAACTGGAAAGTATCTTGGGCTAATGGCCCGAAAAGTCAATGCCTCTTGCTCACTGCAGAGTCTACTTTAATGCAGACACTTGTTCTTTAGGGAAAGCTTGGAGATGATTAGTTTGATTTTTGATTTTTTTTGCAGGGAGAATAGAAAGGGATTTGGAGACTGGTTTCTTTAATACTTCTGGCTAACTGTGCACTTCTCATGCCTGTAATATACAGCATTAAGAATCTTTTTATGTGCTTGTACCTAACAAAATGGCATGTATACCCTCCTGTTATACTGCTAGCTTTTTGGAAATTAATGGATAAAATCTATGCAACTCTTGTAACCCGTGCCACAGTCATGAATGTTTCTTATATCCAGTACAGCATGCAGTACAGCATGCAGTCATATGTTTTAAAATTATTTTTCCACTGAGATTTCAGATATTTTCTGACTTTAATCCCTAAACTGGGAGAGGTCTGCATAAAGATGGGAGTTTTATAAATTAAACAAACTATAGAAGCTTTTCCTTTTTCCTTTTTTCTTTGGAAGTAACAATTAGCTAATGATGTATAGAGTAATGACTGTGTGTGGTGTGTTTTCTAAGAGCCACAGTTGTGAAGAAATACAAGACTTTCTGGGTGAAGATTCCTGGTCCTGTTGTTTCTCAGCCTAATGTACCGTCCCCAACAACACCCTCGCATGCAACATCAGAGGCTACATCAACTTCACACGCAGTTTCCTACTTATCAAAGCCAGTAAGTAACTATAAACCTAAATAATGTTATCTTTAATGCTTGTGATCAATGAAATTTAATGAAATCACGTTGATACAGCCTATTGATGGAAAGGGAGAGATGATGGATGAGTAACTTAGATATCAGAGACCAAGAACATAGATGGCTATAGTGTTGTGTTGAGTTACCTGAACTTGTGCAGCAAAAATGTTGTCACACCACACGTGTCAAAAGGTTGATAGAACATTAAGAACTTAATGGTCAGAAAATTATGCATACCTGGGAAGAGAGAGAGGGAAAAGACTTGCTCTGCCCTTGACTAATAACTTCCTATTTAGTAACTGCAGGCTGGGAAATGTCCTTCTGTGAGTTCATCTGTGTTACTGGCTTCCATTACTGATTCTTGAACGGGACTGAGCAAGCATCGCTGTTTGATCCAGAATAAGTGTGACTTCTAATCCATGTATTTTCTCACTGTGTATCAGTGGAGTTGCTACTTCTAAAAAGGAAACAAAAAGCTTGTCTTCCCTTTATTTCTCCTTCATCCTACAGCTGATACTACCGCTAAAAATGAAACCAAAGGATGTTTCTCTAAAGCTTTTACTTTCTTTTCAAAGTTATTCCATTATAATGTCTTTAAAGTGAAAAATCAAATTTAGTAAAAGTACAGCTTGGAGCTTGCTATCATTTTACCTACTAGCCCTGGGGTAATTGTAGGGATGGGTTAAGAGATTGGTATGTAGACATAGATGGCATTTCTTTGCTGTTCCTTGTATGCTGCCTTCTAGAATGGGGTAGAAATGGAGGAGCAAGAGGGAAACTTCCATTGCTTATGACTTTTTGTTTGCTTCCTTATCTAGTTTAACACCTCAGGCTGTGGAAGTACAAAGTTCTGCATTAGGAACCCTTCAAACTGTGATCCTGAAAGTGCATCCTGTTTTTTTCTATCCTTTCAACATGAGAAGAGTTCAGTATTTATTGAAATGAGTGGTCCAAGTGAAGGATATTTAGCATTTGCATTGTCCCATGACCAGTGGATGGTGAGTGTCCTATTCTGCTTCTTTAGTTGTTTTTGTGATCTTAGTAAAGTTTGAATGGTACTCTAGCAAAACATGCATGTGGAAAACTGAAATGCTGCTTGATGCCGTACAAAGTTGCTTCTCTCACATAGTGCTGAAGCACAGGTTGCCATTTATGGGTGCATATTCAGTTTTAGCTCAGTAGAATTTCCCTGTGGATATCTGTCTTAGCAGGATCTAACCTGTCTGACTGCGTATTAGCTGACTGGAATTCCTGGTTAGATCAATCTTTCTTTGTTACCTAGCCAAAACCCCTTGGCTGTCAGAAGCTGAGTTGCTCTGCTTTCAGAAAACCCTTTGCATTTCATCATTGTTTGTACAGGAATGACTCCATTCAATCTTAAAAGGTGTTTAGAGATCCTTTTTTCTAATTGGTGGTCAAGTGAAGGGACAATGCTGTTGACAAATGCATAATCCATAAACTAACTGTTGCACAGAGGAGATACTGCCTATATTAATGTCCCTTGTGCAAGAATACTTGGTTCTTAACAATACTTTATCTTTACAGCTATGAGGAAAACCACCTTTTAACTAAAGAGGGGTTTTAAAATAATATCAACATCCATCTCTGTCTTGTCTGGTTAATTTAGTAAATTCTAAATAATTAAAGAAACTTCTGATAATATGGTTGTTACCCTGGGAGGGGGGTAGTGTAAATCATAATATGCCTTACTATGTGTCATCTGTTTGACTTAATGTAGTTCCTCTGTAATACTGAAGTGTTTGAAAGCTGGCAAATAATAGCTTGACAGCTTAGAGAAATCTGTCTCAGGTCTTGTTGCATATATTAAATCAAAGAGCTTTTCGATACTGCCAGTTTTTATTTGGCTATAAATACCTTTTTCTTTTAAACTCTCCAGGGTGGTGATGACGCATATCTGTGCATTAATGAGGACCATCGCGTTCATGTAAGCACTGCCTTTCTGAAGGGGCGAAGTCCTCCTGTTTTGGATTCAGAGGTACACTTGAAAACAACTAAGAGTTCCACAAATGTAGGTTTGAGGTAACGAATGGCATGCTGCTGCTTTGTGCTTTTATTTAGCACAGCAGCTCTACAGAGTAAGGTGGATCCATAATTCTTTAAGGTGAGACTGGTTGGGCTCTTACTTCCTAGTGTATGTTACCTTTGGAAGTCTAAATTTAATTTTTAAAAATAAGTCACGTGGTGGGAGCTTACTCTATTGAGAAACTTTGTGCCCATTATTACTCCGTCCCTGTGCAAGGGCTGCAGTAGCAATTGATGTATCTTGGGTTAAAGGTTGGAAGGGAAGGGGAGATTGTTGTTATGAGCTGGAAAAATTGGTCATAATAAGTCTGACCCTTGTGTTGCTGTGTTGACTTACTGGCATACCTTTGAAGTTGGTATGCAAGAGATTTTTATTTTCTCCCTCCCTGCTCCGGATCATTGCCATTCTTTATGCACCAATGACACTCTTGTCTTTTGCAGGGTTACTTTTAAGCCAATTACTCTGCCAGTCTGAAAAGACTAGATATTAAATGTCTCCTGTTTCACAGAATGCCCTTGAAGATGTGTCATGGAGGCTTGTGGATGGTGTTCTTCAATGTTCTTTCAGAAGGAGTATTCGTCTTCCTGCTTATAAAGGGAGATTTAATCTGGATGCCAGTTACTACATCTTCCTGGCAGATGGGGAAGCCAGTGAAGGTAAACTTGACTTGCATATGGTTGCTTTTCTTTGAACAGCTCTAAACAAGTTAGTAACCCGTATGTAAGATGTGGCTTAGCTGAGAATTAGTATCTGAACTCAGGCTTCCAAGTCTGAGGCGCTTAGTCTGGTCATCTTTACTTCCTCTCTGGATCATGGGTTTGATTTTAGATGTAAAGTTACTCATGTATGTGTGTACGCCCACTTGATGCTAGGAACTGTTAGCTGCTTGAGAGCTGGCCACATCTTTTTGAAATGGAGACTAGCATCAAAAGGAATTGTTCTTCATGTCTTGTGTAGTGGAGAAAGCTATTTTCTGTAGAGGTGTGAATTGGTTCTTGTATTCTAAGTATGCAAAGCAGCTTAGATGACGTGTTAGGTTCTTAACATATTGTGTGTCTGAAATTTGGTTTATATGGTTATGCTCAGTGGTCACAACAGGGCTTGCATTCATAAATAAGGAGCAGGCATGCTTACAAGTGTAGTGGCTTTCATCAGCAATAAATAAACCACTTCATGTTGCTGCTTAGGTGGACTGATATATAAACATCATCGTCAGCCTCTGATCACCGATGGAATATACAATGTCACAGGCCTTCCTCAGGACATTGGAGGTTCCCGGTCCCCACGACTTATCAAGGCTCATGGTAAGCTGCAACATCTAGTTTTGTCTTCCAGTGTTAGACTTGCTGAGACTGGAGATTTAAATTTTCCTCCTTATTGCAGTCCAGGTATTTCCTCTTGTCTTTCTGGCACTCATGTTATATACACTGCTGGCTAGCAAGATCTGAGACTGTGAAGACAGAGCAAAGTTATTAATAATTTTTCATTTCAAGAACAGTGTTATAAGATTCTTTTTGCCCAGGAAAAATGAACCTGCATTTACCTTTTCTCTTAAGTTCATAATTAGGACTTGTTTCTGTTTACCTCTTTCTCTCTGATTGAATTTGTTTGAGTTGCATTATTGGTTTAATTCTATTTGAAATGAGAAACCCCTCAACTGACAGCCCAGAGCCATTGAAGTTAATGAGAATTTTTTTCTCTCATGGTACTGGGTTTTAAAGCAGGCCCATGGGAGAACTATCACTCATTCTTTGTCAAACAAACTGTAAGAAATGTTACCTTTCATCATCCCACGTCTAAGTTGTTGACAGAAACAACATCTCTCACCAGTATGTATTGACTGTACTGGCCCAAGTGAAATACGCAGTAGCCAGAGCTGCTCTGTTGTGCTGTGTGGGCATAGTAAGGTTATCTTTTATAGGGATGTTTCTGCCTTCTAGCAAGATAAATGCTATAAAGCTGTAGGCTAAACCAGGGAACTTAAAACTTACCACTGGTAAATTCTGAGCATATGTGTACAGACTAAACTATTACACAGTCCTTGAAGCTGTACGCATATGCAGATAAATTACTCATGTTTACCTTGTATTTTTTCAATTTTCAGGAGCGCTAATGTTTGTTGCTTGGATTACCACAGTTAGTATTGGTGTGATTGTTGCACGATTCTTCAAACCTGTCTGGTCTCATTCATTCCTGTTTGGAAAGGAGATGTGGTTTCAGGTGGGCAAAATCTCCTCATATTTCCAGCTGTATTTTGTAGCTTTACTGTAAGCAGAATTATGTACCTACTAGATCCAAGAAATAGGATATTAAACTTGGTGTGACTTTTGTCTGTCTTTATTTTATAAAATGGAACAGTTACAAATCAGAATTTCACCTACTTTACTAGTAAAAGCAAAGTCTAAAGAGGACACTGAGTACATCTTTAACTGTAGATCTGATAAATGTATGTTAATGATGTATTAAGAAAGCTGTGGAGTTTCTAAAAGCAAACTTAACTTTTCTAGGTGCATCGTATGCTTATGTTGACCACAGTCATGCTTACAAGCATTTCTTTTGTATTGCCCTTTATATACCGAGGAGGTTGGAGCCAAGTAAGTGTGTGCTTTTGTTCTGTTTGTTAACTCAGATGTAAAGGTTGGACCAAAAGAAAGAGGTCCCCTGATGACTAACATGTTACAACTACTGCTGAGGAAATTGCTGTGTAATCTGTCTGTAAGTAGGTGGATTTCAAATCCTAGCAACACAGAAGAGGAATGTTGCCTCCTTTAACTGTAATAGGAAGAGTTCAGTACCTTCCTTTCTTCCTCTTCTCCCAAATAAAGTCCTTGCTCAAAGTTTCTTTATGTACTAAATCAGCCTTCTCTTTTCATAGAGAACTTGGGGGAGGAGTGAGGATAGGATGGCTGAGTTATTAACGTGGTAAACCTGCTGGGAATATGTGTTATGAACTTGGACTTGAGTAACTGTATCCAGTGATTAAGCTTAATCTGGAACACTATATTGTATACCTGTTGCTGTCACCTGTATAATATTTGCTGCAAGGTGATAGCAGAAATTAAAGTCTAGAGAGTATCTTAATTAAAGGTGGTAGAAGAACATGGTTGCAGGTATGAGCTAGGGAAATTGAGTAAAACATTTTAGGGTTAAGATTAGAACAGATAAGGTGAGAAGGGAGACCAGTGCTGGGAGAAGGTAGGAAATAGGCCTCTCCTGAAGACAGAGGATTGAGGATGAAGAGCTTGGAGCATAGCTTGTGCAGTCATATTGCTCTTTGCTCTTCAGCGGGTAGAATTTCTCAGTACAACAAGAAGGTGGGACAAACCCTGGGCATACTTACCAGTGTCTCATGCTGCCAAGGAGAACCACCTCCATCCAGCTGCAGGGCAGCTTACTGTGTCCTGTTAACCTCTGCCAGTCTAAACACAGTGCTGCTCCACCACTGTAACTTACATACAAGCATAAATAAATTACCAACTTTTTGGTATTTTTTCTATATCTTTATATAGATATGATATTAAAGAAAAATGCTCTGTGTTTCAGCAAGCGGGTTTTCATCCCTATCTCGGCTGTACCGTGATGGCTCTGACAATCGTTCAACCGCTTATGGCAGGCTTCAGACCATCTCGTCATGCACCAAGGTACTCACAACTAACTCATTAAGTTACAGCCACAGGAATTAAATATGCCTGTTTCTTTTAAAAATTATTTTTACACTGAAAAGATGTCTTTAAGGTAGGTAGCAATGTTCTTTGATTTATTCCTCCCTCCCCCCCAACTAATCAATAAAATGCTTTTCATTGTTTTGTAGGAGGCAATTGTTTAACTGGTTTCACTGGAGTACTGGTACAACAGCTAGAATACTAGCTGGTAAGTAGGAGTTCTGGCTGTAACTCCCTTTTAAGTGATTTAAAGGAATTTTGTTCATTGTCTGGGTTATTATTGCTTGTCTAAAATATCTATGCACGTCCAGTCCAGGCACCTCTGAAAATTCTTTTTCTTGCTGGCCATCTTCTGTGTGTGCTTTAAGTATCCATCAGGTACAGCTTTAGGGAGAAAAAGTGACTCTGTAAAACCAAAGAGATTACAGACAAATTTGAAAGATCTCTGTAATGAGGACCTGTTCTTATTCTGAGTAATTTCTTTTTGTCCTGGAAGATTTGAGGAATAGTGTTCTTACAGTAACATAGTTCAATATTATTTAATGGGGGGGAACTCACAGAACCAGAAGCTGGGCTTAATTCTATTAACAGGGACAAGTTTCCACAGGCAGCTTAAGCACAAACGTTGCGGTGACTGTGGTCTTGTTGGTGGAGTTACAAATGCTAGTGTATGTGACTGGGATTGGATAGGGCACTTGGCAGGATGAAAACTGTCTTTGGTCTTCTTTCCTCCACGCCTTCCCCCTCACACTGCCAAAAAAAAAAAAAAAAGCTTTTAGCTGCATGGACTCCTTTTAACCTCATTCCCCAAGCATTTGTAGGCAGTTCATGGGAAGTCTATTGCCAAAGGTGTTGGGAGTGCTTTTTTTTTTTTAATTACCCTGGCACAGCATTCTTAGTGTTGTCTCATCTTGTTTTTACTGACTAGTGGTGACTATGTTCTTGGGAATGGATCTACCAGCTCTTGACCTACCAGACCCATGGGACACCTATACAATGATTGGTTTTGTAGCTTGGCATGTTGGTATTGATGTTCTTCTGGAAGTACACAGCTACTGTCTCGTACGTAAAGGTACAAACCCAACAAAACTCCTGTTCTTACCTTGCTTGCTGAGGATTGTGCAAAAAAAGTAACAGAGTTGATTGAATTTCAGGAGGTGTTCTTTGGCCTATAACTTGGAAGCTGAAAGGGAATAACTCTTGAGTAACAGTGTCATATCTTCTGTACAAACTAACATGGGTGTAACCAGTTTTCAAGACCAAAGTGTTCTAGAAAAATTGTTTTTGTGCTACTTCAAATAGTAGCCTCTTGTTTCTCAAACCACAGTTCACAGGGGCAGACTGCAATGTGGAAGTATTTTCCAAGAATCTATCACTGTTGGCCATGATTTTGATCCCAGATGGGTAGGTGAAGTCCAGGTTAATTGATGCGGATTTAGTCTGTGTTTCATTGTGACAAATTGCTGGTATGAATGGCTGTTACTGCATGAGCAAAATGATCAGAAATTTGAGCACAAACACTTGCAACTTTGAGTGAATGAGGAGGAATGAAGGTGAAATCCTGACTCCAAGATGTCTAGTGAAGAGACTGGTAGTGACTTAATTGGAAATTCTTAGCTTCACTGGCTGGTGTCACTGAGAGGAGATGACTGCACACGTAAATGACCTGTATCTAAGGCAGAGATGAGACATCTGCAGAATTGAAGGAGCATGATTAGTTAAGAGGCTGTGTAAGGTGGCATGTGGAGGAGGAGTGATTATAAAAGATGTGAATTTAAGTTTAACTGCAGTAATTACTTCCTAGAAATAGAGAAATGAACCTGAAACGTTTGAAAAATGAGTGTTTCTGTGTTGGCTAACGGAAAAAAACTTCTTAATGAAATCTAGTTATCTTAAAATGAAAAGGAAAAGTTTTTAGATCAAACAAATGTTTTGCTCAGGTCAAAACTCAGTGTTTTGATGATTCACTCTAGCAGAAGAGACAAAATGTTTTGCCACTTTGATGTCCAGAAGTTACTTTTTGTAGGTCAGCTCCAGAATAATCCTTCACTTGTCCCGTGAGTATGACAGTACAGGTTAGGAAATGTCAAATAAGACTTGCAGGTGCTTTTCAAATTTGATGATCAGGATCACAGGATCAAGACTTCTGCAGTATAAAAATGCAAACTTCTTTCCTCTTAAGACTAGATTTTTTTTTTCTTCCCACCAACAGTTGAAGTGATAGAGGATGACAGAGTACAGATCCTGCAGTCGCTTACATCTGCAGAAGGAGAGGTAAGTCACAATTTTGTAACTAATTACTATGAGATGGGATGATGCTTTGTTTAAACCAATAGAAAGACCAACACTTCTATGGCTTTTCTTCCCCTTCTCTTGCAGGGCCGTCTGTTTAAACAGGTTGTGTTAACCATCTATGTCTGTGGAAATATAGTATTCCTCACTGCCTTCCTGGCAGCAATCAACCAAATATGAAATAAGTCATTGAGAATTTTGTGATGAAATATTGTGCAGTGAGAAAAACCTGCAAGGAATGCTTTCTATTACAACTTTTCCCTCAACACCTCCCTGAAGACGTAATCGAAGAATAAGAGCATGTGTGCATCATGCTCAACGTTGGGGAGGACTTGAATTCAAATCTACAGAAGGATGCTGCATCCTGCAAAAGCTGTTTTCTGATGCAACTTTTAATGGAAGTCTTTGCCTGAGTAAGGAATGAAGTCTCTATTTTTAAGTGCAGTAATTAATTTGATTGAAGCTTATGGGTTAAGACGACTGAGAAGATGTGCTGAAAATGCTGTTTTGATAGCGAGTTCTCTAAAACTTTTGTGAATATTGTTGGGAAAACTGGAAAGATTGGTCTGGAGCCTCACCGTATCTGTTGACTTTACTGTATTCTAATGGCGTGCAGTGTGAGAACTTCTGGCTCATGACAGTTTTGTGCATTAAAAAAAAAAAACAACCAAACAAACCTTAGTGAAAAACTGTCACAACTGCAGACTGATGCATGAGCTAAATGCTGTTGTCTATCTTTGCAGTTAAATGCAAAAAATATTCTCTCTGCTCTAAGAGCAGTACACTTACACAAGCATATGGGTTTGGGAACTTCAGTCCTTTAGTAAAACCACCATTTGCCTCACTCAAAATACTATTCTGTCCTGTCCCCCTCAGTGCTTCTAAACCACAAAGAGAAAACATGTTTGCAGTAGAAGTGCATTAAAACAGTTGTACTTACCCAAAACCTAAACAGGAAGAACATATGTATGGATGGATTTCTGTGGTTTGCTGTCTTCGGTTGGACTTGTGAATTACTTTTCTGCGTGAATAAGATGGATTTATGCCACCTGATGCTTAAATGGAAGTGAAAATATTTGCTCAGGAATGTTGCAGTTGTATTTGCACTATTGAGTGAAATGTAGATTAGGAGTTGGTTTGACTTCAGCAAAAATGGCTTCTGTTACCATTAAGTGAGAGTCCTTTGAGCTGGCATATCTAGGAGACACTTATAGTCTTTGTAAGAAAATGGGAGGGAATTTTTTTAGTCAACAAAAGATTTATCTAAATATATGAACTAGTTACAGGGAATGGAAAGAGACTGTATTGTTTAACTTCTTTGGTTTGTGGTTTGCCTAAGTATAGAAGGATACTCTTGAAATGGCATCTCAGAAATGAACCCTTAATGTGCCATGCAGTACGGTGCTTTGTATTTGTTTTTTGCAGCTCTGAACAGTTTGCTTCCACACTTCTTCATTTTTGATACTGGAAAGTGTCAGTTTTTAGTTGTAATGCTTCAAAATGTATCTTCAACCTAGGGCTAGTAAGCTAGCTGGGAATAAAGGTGTAGGAGTATTGGATAGAATAGTAAATAGTGAGGCCTTGTTTCGTGTGGGCCATTACAGCAACATTTCTCTGCTACCTGATGGCCAGCATTTATAGAGCTGGGATTAATCCTTTCGTCAGCAGCAGAATGCAAATGAATGTAAACTGAATTGTCCCCTTTCCTCCTGGAAGCTGGAAAAGCCCTGTGCAGATTGGGAAAGGGGGGCTATGAAGAAATATGGCAAAACCCAGGCTGAAGGGCAAGAGGTATATGGCTAATTGTGTGGCTTGGTGGGTTTTTTAGAGAACTCTGATCATAAAAGCCTGAGAATCACAGGCTCATCTAGTGCTAATATTTTGGGGAACTCTTTTGTATACCATGAGTTTATAGAAGAAAAATCTCTCAACCTAGGCACAATTGATGGCTTTTAAAATTAAAGTCAATGTTGGATTCTTCCAGTGATAAAATAGCTGCGCTGTGTGTTGTTTCATTTGCATGTGAAAATGAACACAGGGTTTTTAAAACATGAATGTAAATATCTTAATAAAAGTGTCTCTTTTACTAAGGTGAAAACACTATCAAATAGAAGCTAGAAAAGAACAGTCTTGCCTAGCAGCAAAATGGATTGTCTGTTTTCTTTGTAGATGATGTTTTATAAATTAAAGCTATCTAAATGCTTCCTGGCGAAACTCTTACTGAAATTGAATGTTCAAATAGTTTCTTTCTGTAATGCGGAGTTTCTTTTCCTCAAGAAGAAAAAAAACCCAACCAAACACCCCAACCACAAATCCTTGTTCTACATCTACTACAGCTTTAAAGTTGGCAAAATTGCCAGTTGCTCTTTGGATAACTTGTTTCCTTCCCAGTGCTAGCAATATTGCATAGTTTCTTATGTGAGGCCTTACGTGCAGGATTGTAATTTACTTGTTGGAAAGACTGGTTAATTTTGTACAACATTTGTTCACACCACCCCGCTGAGTGACTACCAAGAGGAAGCAATGTGCCGCTGTATTCCAGTGACTTCCAAAATTTCTGGTACGCTCATTTGAAAAAAAAGAAAAAAGTCTGTAGAAGTGTTTGATACCAGCAGGAAAAAAGTGGCAGGCAGTTTGGTTCTAGGGATGCTGGTGGCTACTGTGTGCATATATATATTTTTTTTTTCTTCCTTCAATGATAAAATATTGTACAGAAGAAAATTCCCATTGCTTTGCTTCATAAAGGAATCCCACAGAAGTCAAGAGAATGGCTTTACAAGAAGAGATCAAGAAGATTTTGGTGTTCTCTTTTAGTCTCAGACTAAACTTGCAATGACAAATCAACATTAGCATATTTCTTTTTGGGCTCTTCTAACATTCCCAGTCAAGTAGGAACTTGTGATCCGTCTCACAACAAGCAGCTTACTGTTTTGATTGGGTTGTTAGGTGCAGCCTGCAAATACTGGTCATCTGCTCTTGACTTACCTACAAATCATGTTTCTTGTGTATGTTTTGAACGAAAACTAAGGGATGTGAATAGCTCAAATGCAATGGAAGTCATGCTACTTTGCTTTACTTGAAATAGTTTTGGGTTTTTTTTTTTTTTTGCTAGCTGACATGCAGGCTGCAGAATGAACTAAGGAAAGCTGTGCTTTGTTACCTCCACTGAGCGCTGGACTGGCTTCTGTTCTGTCAAAAATCAGAAGATAGGGAGATTTCATATTCCATGTAAGAACACCCATGTTCTTCCCTTACCCAGCTTTGGGAAGAAGGCTGGAGAATGCCTGCCTTCTGTTTTCCACCAGGGTTTGTAACACTACGTGGCGCTCTTGTTCAAATAACAGCATTTTTACTTCGCTTGCTTTCTTTTAATCTGCCAGCGAGAGGTTGAGACATGTAAAGGACGTCCAAAACTGGATGTGTTCCTAGATGAATGAATCAAAAAAAAAAAAATCTCAAGCTTTATTAAGATCTTTAAATTCAAGGCAGTTCATACAGATAGGAGTTATGAAATGAGTGTTTACTTGATGTCTATGCCTAAGCTTTTGTTTGAACAGTTATGGCCTGTTTTCTTTTGTCATGTGTGTGAACTGTGCTCTGCGTGGGCACATCCCCTTCCAAACAGCTTGAGATGAATGGCAGTCATCGAGGAAAAACTGCAATCTTCTGCATTTCAATGCACAAGTTAATATCTCAGTGATTTCAGACCTTCAGTGCAGGCTCCAAGTAAACAGAAGGATGGTTAAGAAGGATGATCTGCTAGTAATTCGGAGAAATTCTTTGCTTGCATCAGTCTGATCCCAGCTTCTCTAAGGGGTGTGTGTGAAGGGGGCAGCCATGGCATTCACTTACCTGAGGGAGGGGCACAGCCAAACCAGCACAGGATAAGTGCTTCAGAACTTGTTTTAGCTCATACATGGGCCAATTCAACCACTGCATGGCTACTGCTGGTCCTCTTGTGCTGTGCAAACGTGACTTTACATGTTGCAAACAGCAAAAGCTGAACACCTGCATTGCACTGAAGCAGGTACCTACGATAGTCATCCTGGACAAACTATACTGCACTAAGAGGGACTCCAGCTTTGGCTTTGTTTCAGAGAGACTTTTGACTTGCTGCACCTTAGAAATCATTCGGCTTTAATGATGAATTGGAGTTTTGCGTGGCATCTGTACTGACATGTGAAAAAGATGATTTGTCGCCTTGTAATTCTGTTCTTGTTGATGTGGGACGTAGGAAAGCTCTGAGCTGCAGCACTCAGATGACGGACATCTCTGCTTCCCAGAAGCACGCAACTCCTGAATGCTCCGTTTTGTGTCTCTGTTCTTCCGAGTTAATGATCTGATACCCATGCTGCTACGTGGCTGGTGTATTAGTGTGGAACAGCTCAGATTCATCTGGCACAAACTGAATAGTTTAATATATGCGACATCAGAATTGCCGCACAGCAGAGCCGAGCCGTACTGAGCCTGGTATTGTCTCCAGAAGTGGTAGTAATGAGCGCTTAGAGCAAGAGATGGAACAAGAGTGCAGTGATATTTTGTCTTTCGAGCAAGATCTCCTTGCTACTTGCCAGAACCTGTGCAAGGGTGTCCTAAGCTAGAAACTGCAGCTAGACAATGAACTCTTGTAGTGATTGAATTTTATCTACAGTGTGCAATGAATTATTTTTTTTTTAAAAAAATCTGCTAATGCTTTTGTTCTCCCCTTTAATTAGTCACTGTGAGAAAGTGCTGCTTGTTTTTAAGTCTGCTTCTTGATGCCATTGTTTAATGACCTGTACCTTGCTTGTACCTTCCTGCCCCTCGTGCATATGCCTTATTGTTTGTTTTCCCTGTATGACTGCTGCTGTACTTGGCCACTTTGCACTTCTGATAATCTTCATTACTCTTCTCTATTTGCCTCTTCAGAGATGGCACAACCAAACTCTACTCAAGTTGTAAATATGAAGTGCTATGCCACAGTTTCCGTGCCTTCCCTAAGGAGTCCTAAAGCACTCTCCATTTTCATGGCTTCTGAGCCTGGAGTTGATATTTTCCAGAGGACTATCTAAAATAACACCCAGGTGTTTTAACTCCTAGCCAAGAGGTTCGTAACACCAACTTAACAGCTGCTTCTCGTGCTGTGTGTGGCTAGGGTTATTTCTACTTTTTTTTTACATTACTTTTCATGTATTGGTAGTGAATTTCACCTGTAGATCTACTATGCAGTCACTATTGTGAAGTCTCTCTTCAGTATCTGTTCTTTTAAACTACTTTGAATAATATTACGTTGGCAGCAGCATTTTTGCCCCCTTTTCCAGATCACTTAAGTTTAATAGCACAGATCACTGGGGAAGGCAGGGGATGAGTGTCTATAGCAATTTGCAGCTGTTACAAAAACTGCTTGTGACTACTTCATATCATTCTCCTCCTTTCTCACTTTTTGGTATATCCTGTTAAGAACTGTTGAGAAGAAGTACCATCTCTGACAAGTTTTAAATTTGAGATTATTACCCACTTCAGACTGGGAGCCGCCAAGTGTTCAGAGGCTACAAGTCAGCTGATTACTACCGTCGTGCCTCAGTATGAGGTAGTAGCTTCAGTTTCTTGCTTTGAAACAAGGAAGACCAGCAAAACAGTTACGCTGGTGCGTAATTTGAGTCAGCTATACTAGAATAACACAACCTGAGCTTTATCTGTTTCCTGATTAAACCAGGCTAAGACCTAGCAAAATAAAGCTGTCATGCTGATTTGAACGTGAGGATGTAGTGCTATGAGGCCCCCCCCCCCCCAGCCACTATGTATTGGAAAAAACTGACCTGCATGTGATTTTTTTTTTTTTTTTTGGGGGTTTTTTTTTTTTTTTTTGGGGGTTTTTTTTTTTTTTTTTGGGGGTTTTTTTTTTTTTTTTTGGGGGTTTTTTTTTTTTTTTTTGGGGGTTTTTTTTTTTTTTTTTGGGGGTTTTTTTTTTTTTTTTTTTTTTGATGGAAAAGCACTGCCTGTCCGGCAATGGGTTTCCTGGAAAAGCAGGGCTTTCTGAGCAAGCTAGGGGGTGAGACCTTGCTTGGGAGGTCAGGCTGTTCATAGTCTTATGCACAGGATCAGTCTGCGAGGTTATGGATGGGCAGCGTGTATGTGGCGGGGGGGGGGAGCAGGCTCTGAGGATGGCTATACTGTCATACGTAAAATATAAGGGGGGGGCTGTGGGGCTCTAAAAGGTGGCTAAATATTTAAATGCTGACTTTACTATTTTTGGTTTTCTTTGCTGTCACTTAAAAAGGAATGCTTTAAATTTTGGCCAAAGTGGTATGCTTGGAAACCAGCTTTTATATTTACATTTCTTCCTGCTCCTCTCTCTCATGTGTAATTTTTTATTAACCAATGCTTTTACCAGAAAAATGCTGGGATGGCATTTTCAATCAAAATCAGGTAGATTGGCACGCTTTGAAGTGAAACAATGTCCTGTGAAGTTCCATGGAGATAGGTGTTTATCTGCTGTGTGTATATAGCAACAACGTATTCCTGATTGTGGGAACAGGCACGTGTCTTCGTACTTGGCTATACACTGCATTTATTGTCTTGGGTAACTTTCCACTACTTTCAGCAAAATCCAGGATGTGATTTGGGTGTATGTGGCAGTTGGTCAAATCTAAAAGTCTGTTAAAGTCCATTGGATTATGCAGAGGGCAAAATAACCCAGGTGCATACAACAGAGGAGCAAAACAAGCATTATGATCCAAAAAAGGTGTGTTGAAGAAACTCTTCTTAGCTTTATTCTGCTTTGAGTAGTAAATTTTACTTCCATGTCATTACAGCTGTTAAATCACCTTTTTCCCCAGCTTTGCCATTCTCATCCTCAGAGCTGAAAAAAGAAAACAAATAAAGCCATTGCATTTCAAGCCTGACTTTCTATCGCTGATGCTAAAATCTCCTTATTTAGAAAAATGAAGAATACACGTACCTCCGGCGTTAGTCCAGCAGAATAAGCATTGTTTTAGTGTTACAAAAAGAAATCAGTAGAAGGCATTAGTTCTGGTAATTTTGCAACAAAGCAAGTGTATTAAGAAATTACTCCGTTATCGCTATTTGAAAATGAGCGCAGCTCCTTTCTAACTGTTTTGTTTCTGTTACCTTCACTAATGTGTTGCAGACAGATGGTATTGTCCTTGACTAGATGCTGACAGATTAAAAAGATGCATGAATAATTAAACAAACTCTCTGTTTAAACTAAACTCCTCAGTGGGAGCTGTAACTGTTTGGAAGCCTTTTTCTTTTGTGTTGATGTTCACAGAAAACTTTCCTCTCTTCCTGGTGGGGTGAGTCAGAGTGGGAGTTAGTCATATTCCTGATTTGAGTCTGACGGAGGCACTTAGTATCTGTATAAACATCAGTGTGGCTCTTGCCTGTAACCGGGTATATCGTGGGTTAGGTTGGAAGTGACAGCGCAGGGCAGATGATTAAATGTTAAGGTTATTTTTAGAACAGCAATATAATGCTGCTGTTTGATATGTAAGAGCCTCCCCCCCCCCCCGGAGCTGATCTGAGAATGCAGTGGGAATAATCTCCAGCCCTCTGACCCATTAGCTTGAAGAGTCTCCCAAAATAGCACGTCTCGTTCCTTCATCCTGCGTATATCTCTGTACCGAGAGACGGGGGGGGGCAAAGCAGCTGTTTATTTGATTTATGCGTGTCAGCAAATGTCCAACCCGAGTTATGTTTTGAATGCTGAAGTTGTCGCAAATCAGAGAAGCGTCTGAACGTAACTTTATATCATAGGGCCACTGATGTTAAGCTTAGCTCTTACAAAGACCCTACGTACTGCTTGCAGACCAAGGAATTCTGCAGGATTCAAGTCCTGGCTGTGGTTTGAGAGAACAATCAGTCTGATGCTTCGCTTACAGCCAACAGCCTGGTTTTGTCTTGCTCCGTGCGTTACAGAAACAGATGGCGTGCATGAATCTTTCTCTATTAAAAAGTTTTGTTGTACGTTACTTTCTTCGACACAAATGGAGCTAAGTCTCCACTGTGTTTTTTGAAGGTTGCACAGCTTCCAGTGGTAAGGAAAAAAAAAAAAATTAGCTCATCTAGATTAGCTACCTGCCAAAAGCCTTGGACCTTCGTGTCCCATGAGAGCCTGTTCCACACTGTCAGGAGGTTTTACTGCCTGTTCAGCTTCAGTTTTTTCTTTCCTTTTTCCTTCCACTATGCCTTTGTTCCCCACCAAGGACTTTTAATTTCCCTAATGAGTATTGAGTCTTCAAAACATTTGCACACTAATTCATTTGACTGAAATTTAACGAAGAAAATAAGCTCTGATAATGCAAAGCACTGGTGTCCTAATTACAGAGAGAAGGATGACAAAGCTGTATGTTTTTTTCTGAGGGCACATAGTTTTGAGATACTGGTCCTGCACCAAGCTCATGGGGAAAGGAAAATTGCTCCCATATGGAAAAAGGTATGTCCTACGTTTCTGTCAGTTTGGGGGCCTGCCCAAAGCTCCTAATTTTATCTGATTTTTCTGTGTAGAGTGGCACATGGAACAATTCCTCTGCCTCCTAGTTGTCCTTGGCTATCACTAACTTTCTCAGTAACTTGTTCTGAAGGCTCATGTTTTTCCCAAAGCAAGACGGTTACACCAGGGACCATCTGCCTGGTCTGTCCTGTGCTTCCTTGCTCTCCGTTCTCTTTCAGAGAGTCCCCAGTGCCTGTTTAATGTTCAAAGCTTTCATTTTAGCAAGGATTATTTTTTCTGTTGTGCAGTTTGTTGTTTTAGTAATGAATGAGGAGGTATCAAAAATAATTTCGAGTGCCCTTTTTTCACTGGTGGTGTTTAGGGTGAACCTGCTAGGCTGGGCATCAGTGGCTGCTTTGAAAACAATTTATTTCCCTAAGAAACAGCTCTGTGTAATACATTGTTCTAGATTTTAAGAGGCTTTCCTGGTTTTGTTTCCTTTTTAGAAGTCGCAGTAGGATTACAGGACTGCTTGGGAAAAACTGAGTCACTTCCTGGCTTTTTCCACTGATCAAAATGTCCCAGGGAGTGGCAATAAATAGGTGGAGGGGTAAAGAGGAATATGGCTTAGTTCCAGATTCTACCAGGCATTTAAGGCACTCACTTGGAGGCAGGGCTGACTGTTGGGGTGTATTTCTGAGGCAGTTGCCAAACTACTTTTAATTGGGACCGTATTTTTCCTAGTTGGCTCTTTTCTCCTTGGTAGAATACTTGTAAGTAAATAGGTAAGACCAAATACAGATTAACAGAACAGATTCTCAAATGTATTTGGTAGATTTACGCTTACCCCCTTCCCTGAAAGCCAGTGTTTGTTTTCCACTAACCTCCCAAGAGAGAGAACACGGATTATTTGGAGAGTGGCTATGAGCGGCAAGGAAGAATAAAGGATGTTTCAGATCCTTCTTTCAGGAGGCAAAGATAAGCAAAGATTGTTCCAGACAGAGGTGCTGAGCTACCATCTCATAGCCTGTGTGTGGCCCACCCGAATGGTACTGCCAGCTCACAGTTACTTCTGGGAAACCTCTTTCCCAGCATCTGCTCCGGAGCACCCACGCACGCGGCAGGCTGTAGGATGAATGAATTGCTTCAGCAGCAACCAGCTGGCGGGTGGGTGACTGTTGCTTCTCCATTATATGCGTATACATACGTGATGGGGGAATTAAGGGACTATCCTCAAAACAGAATGGGCTGGAGCAGTTGCTGGAGTGGTTTATCTTGCCTGCACCAGCTAATTCTGCTCTTAGCTGCTGGCGTGAGAGTTGCTGGCAGCAGCCTTTCATCCCGGAGGATGCAGGGAAGCGCCCAGATGGCAGGATTGGTGCTGGAGAGAAGCAAAGATCCTCTCATGTGATAGAAAAGTGCAGTGGCCTCATTGATCAGAAAGGCTGGGCGGCACTGCTGGAATATTTGAGGCTGTTGTGTGCATGACTGCATGAGGCTGATCTTCCTGTAAACTGAGAACATTACTTACTGAACGGTGCTTCCCAGTCAGTGCATACTGATGCAAAAATACCTGAAACCCCTTATGTGACCCGATGACCACCCTCTCTCCTGGCTTTACCTGCATTGTAAAGAGATGCTGGGCTGCCAGTGCTGCTTTAGGCAGGGTCAAACTTATGCTTTTGCTGCCAAATCGCAAAATTACTCAGAATATAGTCTGGAAGAGGAGCAGGGAGAGAATGTGGGATCAGGACCCCTGATCTTCCTACAGTTCAAGCACAGTGTTCTTTCCTTGAAGTGGAATGTGACTGCTGTCTGAAATCTGCTGCTCTGCAAATATACTTAAATGCAATTTAATTGTAAGCATTAAAGTGCAACAAAATCATAAAGAAGAGCTTTTGGTGATTCCAGAAGATCCTGCTATTGTTCTTTCAGCCTTTTATTATAAAACTTTATAGTAAGAAATAGACACCTTGAGTATTAATAGAATATAAAAAGCATTAAAAAATAACACTGTGAACTATATGGACTAACCACATGTAGTGATGAAAGCTGTTTCATTGCTTTTCAGAGGCTATAAAAATATCTAACTCAGGTTAACAAAAAACGTTAAAACTTGCATAAACATTGTCAAGGCAAGGTTGGCAATGCTGATTCCAGAAAAAATGCAAAGTACAGCTAGTTATTAAACAGCCTTTCTGATTGAAGGAGCAATTTGGATTATCTAGGAAGTAGTTAGAATGCAGATAGGCACAAAAAACATTCCAGCAAGGAGACAATGTTAAGCAGCAATGCTGTTAGTTACCTGGTAGAAATGAAAATTAATTCTCCTAGTTGAGGTAGCATTAATGAACTTTTAATTGTCACTTGAGAGAGGACCTCTTTTAATCTTTGAAGGTCACAGAAATGGCTTTTCCGTGATAGTTGATTTTCCAAATTTGATATGGCAACTAGTGCATTGCTCAAGATGAAATAATTCAACAGTACCAAAATGCGGATTGGCGTTTGTTAACAAACAAGAGGGAAGACATGATTAGTAATTGGGTATTAGTCCATGAAACAATCCAAAGAGTGAAGTGGATCAGTTGCTAGCAGGTAAGAGTAGTATCTGTTTGCTACATGAGCAAACAGCAGTGACATGATTTTCCTTTTCTGTTACCTGTTAGTGAGGGATCTTCAGTACCGTCTCCAGATACCTGGCTGTGAAGATGAGCACGGTGTGTCGGTGAGCTTAAGCGTTCCTCTTGTTCTTGCAGGGAGATGGAATTTTTGTGGGGTACCTTGTTCGGGCTGGCGCCCAGGCTGCTCACAGGGTTTGTCTGTGGGACTTCTGTGATTTTCCTGCTCAGTGGCTGATAAACCTGACTATAGTGGCCTATGGGATGATATGCTGGTTTCTCAGATTTGCTGTCATCTTCCTCATCATCATCAATGATAACTAATTCTGCATGGATAACCCCATCGTATCGTGACAACTTTTGGTTTGCTTCTGCATCATCATCATCAACGCGCTGATAACCCATGAAAATCATTGTTACTGGTTCTGAATCATCCACATAACATGGTACAGCTTGGACAACGCTGTACTGAACACCTTCCTCGTCTTGAGGTGCAGGGGATGGTTCATTAAGATGGCTGGGACTTAAAAGCCTTGTCTCATTATGTCTTTCTCTTGTATTCTGGTAAGGTTTTAATTCCTCGTGTACAGCTTTTCTTTCTTCATTATGTATCATCCTGCTCTCGGGATTAGTGTGCACTTTCTTCTCTGAATGGGAAAGTACTGGAGAGGGAGACTTTGGCTGTATTGCCTTTGGAAGGTCAAGCCCATTCTCTTTACGTGGCTCAGTTTTTGGGGACAATTCTGTCTGATGATTGCTAAATCCATTCATCTCTCTTCTGTGAGTGTCTTCCAGTTTTGGTCCAGGGACTAATTTATCTTTCTGAGGGGTAACTGGCCTGCAAAATTTGTTTGCAAACACAGGCTCATGGTACTCTGTGGGAGACTGGGAATTTTTTTCAGTTGCCTGTCGTAGCAGGTCCTCCACCTCAACAGGAGCAAGTTCATCCATCCCATTCTGTGTTGTGCTGCCGTTTGAGGACACTGCATAGACTGACTTCCTGCCATCATCATAGACTTTAATTCCTGTCTCTTTAAACTCCTTGGAGGGAAGAGGTATTGTTGATAACACTGTGTTTTCTCCTGTCTTCATGTCTTTTTCAACTTTAATTTCCATGGCAAACAATGCTGTTGAAAGAAACAAGTGCTTAAACTGATAATGCAGCAGCCACGAGAAATATTATAGAGTTCTGACAGTGATAGAGAATGACTGTCAGAATGAATTATCAAAAAGTGAAATTATCACATACATAACCAATATATTGGATTCTCATTTTGAATGCCCCCTTCCATCCTGTCAGAACTTGAAGTGGAAAAAATACTTTCATTTGGATCTAATTCTGCGAGGAAAAATAAGCTGTTGAGGAGCCAGTTTTCATTATGTGATTGACTGAGAAAGCCAGATTTAACCTCGGCCCCTGGTGTTGTGCTGGGCAATAGCAGTTGAAAGAGCTCAACGTGCTACGAGACTAAAGAGTCTTGGGCGCTCAGAAGGGTTAGGAGGCTTTGTAGTAGTTGGGAAATAACTGGAGTACTGCTGGCTGCCCAGTAGCTGTAAGAATCACACAATCACAGAATCGCAAGGGTTGGAAGGGACCTCAGGAGATCATCTAGTCCAACCCCCCTGCTAAAGCAGGCTCTCCTAGAGCATTCTACACAGGACTTCATCCAGGCGGGCTTTGAATATCTCCAGAGAAGGGGACTCCACAACCTCCCTGGGCAGCCTGTTCCAGTGCTCTGTCACCCTCGAAGTAAAGAAGTTTTTCCTCATATTCAACTGAAACCTCTTATGTTTCAGTTTGCACCCGTTGCCCCTAGTCCTGTCGCTGGACACCACTGCAAACAGACTGCTTCCATCCTCGTGACTTCCACCCTTAAGATATTTGTATGTGTTGATAAGGTCCCCTCTCAGCCTTCTCTTCTTCAGGCTGAACAAGCCCAACTCTCTCAGCCTTTCCTCGTAGGGGAGGTGCTCCAGTCCCTTTATCATCCTAGTTGCCCTCCTCTGGACTCTTTCTAGGAGTTCCTCATCTTTCTTGAACTGGGGAGCCCAGAACTGGACACAGTACTCCAGGTGGGGTCTCACCAGGGCAGAGGAGGGGGGGAGGATAACCCCCCTCGACCTGCTGGCCACACTCCTCTTAATACACCCCAGGATACCATTGGCCTTCTTGGCAACAAGGGCACATTGCTGGCTCATGGTCAGCTTATTGTCCACCAGGACTCCCAGGTCCCTCTCAGCAGAGCTGCTATCTAACACTCGATCCTTGTTCCCAGTGGCACATACCTTGCACCAGTGCCCCACCTCTCAGTTTTGATGGCCTCACTGATAACATAACGCAGCTTAAATGAGAACAACGTTGTCCCATATCCGTAATGTTTACCCCTCCCTTAAAGTGTATCAGATTCACTTGATAGCAAGCCTTTGCACATGCGGACACCCTTTGGAGTTATTAACTAATAAGCGGTACCTTTTCTCTTTTCTTCATCATCGCTGGCGGCATGTGCTGTACTTTTCAGCGCGGAAGGCCTGAAATACTTAGGAAGGTCAGGTATGCTGGCGTATATGTAGTCTGCTGCCTCTGAATAAAGAAGGTCCACAAAGCATTTAGTATGTTTCCACTGACTTCTGCAAGAACCTTTTAAAAAATATTTTTTTGGCTAAACATACCTTTTTCGACTCCTGCTTTTTCAGTCTTCACAGACTAGGAAAAAGAACCATGAACAATAAGTGGGATTAGTCAGCTTTAAGATGTTAACTAGGCAGTGCTTTGCTTTACCTGTTACTTTTCGTGTGCATGGCTTCATACTGAGAAGGGGCTAAAAGTGGATTGGGCTCAGCTGGAGCACGGCAAGCGAGAAAGTGAAATTTTTCTGGTCTTTGCCAATATGTTTCCTGTCCTTCTCTGTGTGACTTGGATGCTACAAAGCATTAATTGGTGACACAACCTCATGCTGTGGCCAAGCTGGTTGGCTTCAAAGATTTTTTTTTTTAAAGGCTCTACTTTGGCTTGCCAGCTGTGCTTTTCTCCCTCTGTATCTTTAGAGAGAGAGAGTGTGTGTAAGAACAACTGGAGAACTAAAGTTTATTTAGTTTCATCACTATACCTTTGAGACTGTTTAAGATGACTTTCAAATATCAAAATGAGCTTTTGACAGAGACTAATGACTGATAATACTAAATAATCTTTCCCT